GATTTCCCTGAATAAGCAGACATTGTCTGGAAATCTGTTGATTTCCAACTCTGTGTCCTTGGTTGGGGTGGGCAATTCTTGGTTATGATTCCAATTGTATAGTAAAGAATAAAACCACTGCATGTTGACCTTAGTGTATTGCTGGGAAAAAGTTTCTGCTTCTCTTAGTTTTGTCCAACTTAGCTTTCAAAATATTCTCTCATGAAAAGTGCTAACTTGGCTTACCACTGGTCTTTTTAAACTTATGTATGCTACTAGCCTATCTCGACCATTCAAAGTTCTGAGGATGCCTTTAACTGAGGTTAACTTTACAATTTAATTTGCATGTACATTTTCATAAGATGTGACCTGCTGAGTAAACCCATGCTTGTAAGAGAGGTGGGCATCCACCAGTCTTTCTATAACTGCTTTGTTTATATCCATTAAGCCAAGCATGTATAACTGTTATATTTTGTCCTTTTCATGAGTGCATATTACGTTTTTTCTCTTTTAATACTGAATTTTAAATTACAAGTGAAATGAAACATGGACTTGCTGCTTTTGGAAATTTTATTTTTGTGTATGCCTTGCATATTGTTGGTGGCATATTCAATCAATATCCATCAATAACTCATGTAGTCTACACCTCTTCCTGTCTCTGAATAAAGTTTCTCTCCAGTGTCCTTCATTAAAGAACATCAATCTTTCCATAATATCCTTCATGTGTCTCCTTCACTAACATCCTGGAATATTCTTCATCTCAGTCATTGTCTAACTTCCCTTTTTAACAATTTTTAAATACTGTCCATATGCATCTATGCAGTGCTATCCTGGACTTCTTTCTCTTTTGCACATTGACACAGATTGCACAGTTTTCTTAATGCCTATGCACTAGGCTTTAAACAGAATCAGTATTTTATTTCCTTAAGTTTTCCATCATAGTAGAAGGAAGACTGCAAGTAAAGGAAATGAATTAAATGGGAATTTGGAAATGTTATGAAGTGAAATGCAGACATTCCAAGAGCAATGGGGAAAGTCTTGGGAAAAGTTAAGTGAGGTCTACACTAATGAAGGAAATTAAAGCCTGCCTCTTAGAACTGGGTAACTTTTAGGGGGCTTGTTTGAATTAGTTAAGGATGTTGGATTTGTTTCCACAATAGGTATACAGTACTTGTACCATTTTTATCAGCCATGGGTAGTTTTGCTTATGTATAAGAAATTTCATAGTACTGAGGTATATAAGACAAGAGATGCAAGATAATTACAATATTGACAGGGACAGAAGTAAACTGTAAATATTTAGTTTGAAAAAAATATTGCCTGTTTATATCAAGAGACTATATACTTAGATTTTTGTGCAAAAGAAATATTCTGTTCTGTCTACCAAGTATGAAAGAAAGACTCTTCAGACTCTGAAACACCCTGAATTGCATCTGACGTATCCCATATCTGCAATGAAAGAGAAAAAAACCCAGTGCTGTTCACGTTCATTCAAAATGGGGGAAAAGATGTTGAGTTTGCCCAAAGCAAATAGATTTTTGTAAGGGAAGAACATTCAGAGCAGCATTTTCAGG